TCAATGGAAACTCTGCATTATTTGGGTGATAAATAGCTGCTTCCTTGATTATTTATATATTTATCACTTTATTTACTATTTGTAGAATAATTTGGGTTTATATTGATAGTGCAAAGTGTTTTCACTTTAAAAATATAGACTGCTGCAGACTGGAGTGCTGCTTTAAACTTATTCTGTGAGTAACTCTGTTGTCTTCAGTACAAGTGGCAGTAATTTGGTCTCTAAATCTGCTAGGAGCACTCGATGGAGTGCCAGTAATAATAAAACATTCATGTGTGAGCTGCAAATTTGAGGTGAAAGATAAAATTACTAATTATGTGAACAGTTGCTAAGTTCCCAGTACGGTTGACATTTGCTGTGTATAAATGATGTGAAGTTAAAAATATATACAAAATATATAGTAAAGAATATAGTAGAAGCAGAGAATAAGAACCCAATTCATGGCATACTGAATGGGCCTGATTAGCCAGGGGAAAATCAATCGCTAAGGTACACTTACAATGCGGGATTGCATTAGACAGTGTATGTATGGGTATATACAGTATTAATAGAAATCTATTTTATTAGGCAGCAGCAATCTTGTATATGTGCTCACAATGGCCAGAGCATGCATGTCTGTGTATATTTTACCTGTAGTTTTATTCATAAAGTAACCTATTCTGGTCTCAGAATTTCCTTCACGCTGTTTTATTCCTATATGAAATACACTTGTAAAATGTTATGGCTCTATTCACGGGCAATGATCAGTCCAGAGATATAGCCTCCAGTTGAGTAGTCCAGCTTCCAGACCAAGAAGGGGGGTCCAGGACCAACCAGTCTCCCTTCTCTTGAGCATGTGGATCCATCCCCACAGGGAGAGAAAGACAAGAGCTCTGAGGGTTCAGCTATGGTTGCCACCTCATCCCTTTAAAACTGAACACATATTAATTACACAGGTTCTGTGTCTGCTTACGGTGGTAATTAAACTCACCTAGTGCCTTATCTGCAATAGATTAGCCTCAAAACCTGTGTAACTCTAGGCCCATCCATCATCTGGGTACACCTCCCCATGTATTGGCTAGGCTCTACAAATTATTCAGGCAGGGGATTTGAATTCTCTTACCCTAAGCTCTAGAACAGGGGTTCTCCAACTACGGCCCATGGACCGGATACAGCCTGCCAAAGCCATTTATCTAGCCCGCCGAAAAAAGAAAAATATAGGAAAAAATAAACCAACCGGCAAATAGCTAGGCTTCTCACTGTGTCCTCGGCCATGAGTGTAGCTGGCCAGCTAAGACCAGTCCTAGGTTGTTAATATGGTTCACATATGTGTATACCAAACCTGCCAATAACCTCAGTATAGTATATATGTGCATATCTTAAAGCCAAAAGCAAAATCATTGCTGTAATTTGTCTTTGATTGTTATATGACATTTATATATTCATTGTGTTAGCAGAAGCAGAAAAGGAAAATATGCCTTTAAGAGTTAGTTAAAGATGAGCCAATCACAGACAGCCTTACACTGTACAGAGCCTTAACCAATCCCAGCCAGTTTCACATTTATGCCTGTGTAAAACTCCCTGGTAGGATTTTCTAGAGACACATGCTCACCAGACAGAAGAGGAAACAGACAGTTCCAATCAGAAAAGCTTTATGGAAGCAGAGAAGGCCAAATAGGTATTTAATGCACTTGTGTGTTCCTCTATTGTTTAACAGTGCAGGTAGATCTGTGTCTAAAAATGTTGTATGTGTTTACTTTAGTTCCACCGAATTTACGAACTTACGAACTTATCGAATTTACGAACTTATCGAATTTACGAACTTATCGAACTTACGAATTAAACGAATCAAGTCACTGTAGAGTAATCATAATCGAACAAATTTATAAATCCAAGTGAATTTATCAATCTATCGAAATATACAGAACAAATTTATTGAATCTATTGAACCTATTGAGATAAGCTATCGAATCAAATCACTGTAATATGAAAGAAATAAGCTATTGTATGATAAATGAAACAAGCCATTGTAAGCAGTTATATGAAGAAGATTGAAGTTATTAAAGAAGTTAACTAAAGTATTCGGTGTGCTCTTTAAACCTACTGCATCCATAGAGCGGCATTGGAGGAATTAAAGAGTAAAGTCAGTCTAATCAAAGAAACAGCAATTGCATAATTTTTCTAATGCCACAGCACACTAGGCACCAAAGGGTGCTGCGCCTGCCACAATGAGGACCCAGTGAGTGGCAGCCTAGAAGTCCCTGATTTCACCTGCAGCAGCCAAAGGAGCAACAGGAGAGGAGGAGAGTACACCAGGCACCAGGTACAGTGCATTGTGGTGTCCAGTGTGTTACAGAGTACAGTGCATTGTGGTGTCCAGTGCGTTACAGAGTACAGTGCATTTCAGTGTCAAATGCGTTACAGTGTACAGCGCATTGTGGTGTCCAGTGCTTTCCAGTGTACAGTGCATTGCGTTGTCCAGTGCGTTACAGAGTATAGTGCATTGCGGTGTCCAGTGCATTAGTGTACAGCACATTGCAACCTCCAGTGCGCTACAGTGTATAGTGCATTGCAATGCCAAGTGCGTTACAGAGTACAGTGCATTGGGGTGTCCAGTGCGTTACAGAGTATAGTGCATTGCGGTGTCCAGTGCATTAGTGTACAGCACATTGCAACCTCCAGTGCGCTACAGTGTATAGTGCATTGCAATGCCAAGTGCGTTACAGAGTACAGTGCATTGTGGGGTCCAGTGTGTTACAGAGTACAGTGCATTGAGGTGTCCAATGCATTACAGAGTACAGTGCATTGCAGTGCCAAGTGCGTTACAGTGTACAGTGCATTTGGTGTCCAGTGCGTTACAGTGTACAGTGCATTGCGGTGTCCAGTGCGTTACAGAGTTCAGTTCATTGCGGTGTCCAGTGCGTTACCGTGCACAGTGCATTTGGTGTCCAGTTTGTTACAGTGTACAGTGCATTGCATTGCCAAGTGCGTTAGAGAGTGCAGTGCATTGCGGTGTCCAGTTTGTTACAGTGTGCAGTGCATTTGGTGTCCAGTGTATTACAGAGTACAGTGCATTGTGGTGTTCAGTGCGTTACAGAGTACAGTGCATTGCGATGTCCAGTGCATTAGAGAGTTCAGTGCATTTTGGTGTCCAATGCGTTACAGTGCATTGTGGTGTCCAGTGCGTTACAGAGTACAGTGCTTTTGGTGTCCAATGCGTTACAGTGTACAGTGCAATGTTGTGTTCAGTGCGTTACAGTGTACAGTGCATTGTGGTGTCCAGTGCGTTACAGTGTACAGTGCATTTGGTGTCCAGTGCGTTACAGTGTACAGTGCATTGCGGTGTCCAGTGCGTTACAGTGTACAGTGCATTGCGGTGTCCAATGCGTTACAGTGTTCAGTGAATTGCGGTGCCAAGTGCGTTAGAGAGTTCAGTGCATTGCAGTGTCCAGTGCGTTACAGTGTACAGTGCATTTGGTGTCCAGTGTGTTACATTGTACAGTGCATTGAGGTGTCCAGTGCATTACAGAGTACAGTGTATTGCCAAGTGCATTAGAGAGTTCAGTGCATTGTGATGTCCAGTGCATTACAGTGTACAGTGCATTGTGGTCTCCAATGCGTTACAGAGGACAGTGCATTTGGTGTCCAGTGTGTTAGTGTGCAATGCATTGCGGTGTCCAGTGCGTTACAGAGTACAGTGCATTGCAGTGTCCAGTGCGTTACAGAGTACAGTGCATTTGGTGTCCAGTGTGTTACATTGTACAGTGCATTGAGGTGTCCAGTGCATTACAGAGCACAGTGTATTGCCAAGTGCATTAGAGAGTTCAGTGCATTGTGGTGTCCAGTGCATTACAGTGTACAGTGCATTGTGGTCTCCAGTGCGTTACAGAGGACAGTGCATTTGGTGTCCAGTGTGTTAGTGTGCAATGCATTGTGGTGTCCAGTGCGTTACAGAGTACAGTGCATTGCGGTGTCCAGTGCGTTACAGAGTACAGTGCATTTGGTGTCCAGTGTGTTACATTGTACAGTGCATTGAGGTGTCCAGTGCATTACAGAGTACAGTGTATTGCCAAGTGCATTAGAGAGTTCAGTGCATTGTGGTGTCCAGTGCATTACAGTGTACAGTGCATTGTGGTCTCCAGTGCGTTACAGAGGACAGTGCATTTGGTGTCCAGTGTGTTACAGTGTGCAATGCATTGCGGTGTTCAGTGTGTTACAGAGTACAGTGCATTGCAGTGTCCAGTGCGTTACAGAGTACAGTGCATTGCGGTGTCCAGTGCGTTAGTGTACAATGCATTGCGGTGTTCAGTGCATTGCAGAGTACAGTGCATTGCAGTGTCCAGTGCGTTACAGAGTACATTTGCGGTGTCCAGTGTGTTACAGAGTACAGTGCATTGCGGTATCCAGTGCATTAGTGTACAGCGCATTGCGGAGTCCAGTGCGCTACAGTGTACAGTGCATTGCAATGCCAAGTGTGTTACAGTGTACAGTGCATTTGGTGTCCAGTGTGTTACAGTGTACAGTGCATTGAAGTGTCCAGTGCGTTACAGTGTACAGTGCATTTGGTGTCCAGTGTGTGACAGTGTACAGTGCATTGCGGTGTCCAGTGCCCTACAGTGTTCAGCCAAACAATACTTGGCTAAGCAGCCCAAGAAATAACAGCATAATGTTCTATTGCATCAGTGTCCTCTAAAGGTTGACGCGTTTTGCTTGTTAGCTTCTTCACGACCCCAAAACTAGTGGCGAAGAAATCAAATGCCTTACCTAGCAGATGTGTGTGTGTGTATATCTATCTATATATATATATATGTGTGTAGAGATGTGCTGGTTGCTTTAAATCTTAACCACCTTCCACCCGCCCTATAGTACAATGACGAGCGCAAGGTGGTTCTCTCGTTCTGATAGGACGTCATATGACGTCCTTCCATTCTCACCGCGCATGCGCGGCGATCACCGGTGCGCTGTGTCCCTCGGACACAGCGGATCACGGAAAGAGCTGAAGATGTCGGCTCAGTCATGTGATCAGCTGTGTCCAATCACAGCTGATCACATGTAAACAGGGAAATGCCGGTTATCAGCATTTTTCTCCTCTCGAGCTGTGACGCTGACAGCTCAAGAGGAGAGGAGAGCCGGTAATCGGCTTTCCACGGAGGGGACATATACACTGATCATCAGAACACTGATGATCAGTGTGGCCCCAGAAGTGCCACCTGTCAGTTTCCATCAGTGCCAGCAGTCAGTGCTCATCAGTGCCACGTGCCAGTGCCCATCAGTGCCACATCAATGCCACATATCAGTGCATACCAGTGCACATCAATGCCACATATCAGTGCCCATCTGAGCTGCCTTTCAATGTCACCCATCAGTGCCAGTCAGTGCCACCTATCAATGTCAATCAGTGCTGCCAATCAGTGCCACCTATCAGTGCCAGTCAGTGTCGCCTATCAGTGCGCATCAGTGCCGCCTATCAGTGCCAGTCAGTGCTGCCTAACACTGCCAGTCAGTGCCGCCTATCAGTGCCGCCTATCAGTGCCAGTCAGTGACGCCTATCAGTGCCACCTATTAGTGCCATATATCAGTGTCATGTACCAGTGCTGCCTTTCAGTGCCCATCAGTGATGCCTGTCAATGCCCATCAGTGTAACCTACCAGTGCCTCCTCATCAGTGTCCATCAGTGCCACCTATTAGTGTCCATCAGTGCAACCTATCAGTGCCCATCACTGCAGCCTCATTAGCGCACATCAGTGAAGGAGAAAAATCACTTATTACAAAGTTGTATAACAAAAACTAAGAAAAAAAATTTTTATTTTCAGTGGTTTTTGGTTTGTTTAAGAAAAAATAAAAATCCCAGAGGTGATTAAATACCACCAAAAGAAAGCTCTATCTGTCTCAAAAAAAAATTATAAAAATTTCATATAGGTACAGTGTTGCATGACCGTGCAATTGTCATTCAAAGTGTGACAGTGCTGAAAGCTGGAAATTGGCCTGGGCAGGAAGGGGGTATAAGTGCCCTGTAGGCAAGTGGTTAAACAGCAGTTGCAAAGCAATTTTTTTTTCTTTCCTCTCTTTGTGAGTGACAGACAGGAAAAGCAGGACTGTGCTCTAATTGGTTTTTGCTACTGCTGAGAAGGATCCACCCATAGCAGCATTGTTGCAGCTGAACTTATGTTTGGCTGTGGAGGAAAGAAGAGAAGAAAAAGGAAGAAGAAGCAAATGTGGGGAAGCAGACATTTTCAGGGGAGCTCATGGAGCAAGGGCTCCTGGTGTAAAGTCACAGAGTCTCACTCTCTGTGCTGCTGGAACCCATAAACTGGGCTGGGAGTGTGTAGCAGAGAAATTGTTGCAGGAGGACAGTGTGAAAACCAAGGATTGTCCTGCCTGACACTCAGGATTACAGCCACTCAAGTGCATGTGTCTCTCAAACTGGGGAGCTGCTGAAAGAGCGAGGATTTCTACTACTGTCTAATGCTATCTAGAGGACAATCCAGAAACAGTGAGTACTCTGTGATGAAAGGGGATTTTGATATTGCTGCATTTGCTGTTCATCTCTGGAGAATGGTCATGAGAGAGCCTGCTCTCTAATTCTCAGAGTGACACAAATCTTGGAAAGCCCAAGCTGCTCAGAATTAGCTATTCCTGCTGCTGATTGTTGAGAGAACTCTGTCTCTGTATATTACTGGTTTGTCTCCTCAAGATTTGTGCTGTGGCTGAAGAGTGTGTTTAGTTCCAAGTCCCCACAGAAGCTTGCTGCTCTGAATATACTGGAGCAAGTGTCAGTATATCAGGATTTTACCTGTATGGTAAAGATTTTGTTGAAGTGTTGTTGTTTCCTATTGCAATGTTCACTGGAAGATTCTGCTTAAAGGAGACTGTGCTATCCTGCTACCCCTGGATTACAAATACTCTCCCATGCAGAGAGTGAGCGCTCTTCCATTGATTAAAGGGCCCCAATGTTGAGAGACTTTAAGTTTCTTCCCACTGGCCAGTGGTTAGGTAGGACATTTCTGCTCTAGATAGTACGGCTATAGCAAATGTCAGTAAGCTGCTAGACCTCATTAACAGTCATTGTTTCTTGTGTCAATGTCACTCTCGTATGTCACCCTAGTCAGTGTGATACTAGTCAGTTTTTGGAGTCTGTGGTGAGTGAATTGTGACTTATTACTAACCGTGTTATGCAAAGTGGTATCTGTGTTTTATGTACATTACCTGTGTTAATCAGCTAGTTCTTTTTCAGGGTTTGTCTTTTTCAATAAAACTCATAAAAAATATTCTCAGAGTGTCGAAGTGTTCTGGGTATAATCAGAGGTGTCACCAGATTCAGGTGGGAGTTGAACCTATATATCTAGCCAAGCATCACCCAAGGGTGTGCTACATTTGGGGGCTCGTCTGGGATATTTAGCTCCACCTACCTGATTTAGCTATACCTAGCTCACCCCAAAGATGTGAGAATGAAGCCTGCCAAAGGGTCAACTATACCTCCTAGTGCAAATACTGCTCAGGCTGAATCTGAATCTTTACCAGCTACTGTTGACTTAGAGGTTTTGAATACACTCGGGAATCTAGTGGAGAAGTGTTTGACATCTATTTCATTCAATAATAGATCTGAATATCGCAAATTGCGATTCTTCTCTGGAAAGCAACCTACACCAGTGGGAGAAGATGATTTTGAGAAATGGATGGAACAGGCCATACAGGCGTTAGATGAATGGGATGTCTCTGAGACACAAAAGAAACAGTGAATCTCTGAAAGTTTAAGGGGAGCAGCTTCAAGGGCAGTGCGAAACCTAAAGCTCAGCCAACCAGACTGTACTGGCCAGGACTACCTCAGTGTTTTACAAGATGTTTTTGGGAAGACTGATAAGATCTCAGATCTTATGTACAAACTTGAACACACCTATCAGGCAAAAGGAGAGAAATTGTCTGAGTATATAATGCGCCTGGATGAGATTATACATCAGCTGTTAACAAAGAAAGGTATCAACCCCAACACAGTAGACAAGATCAGAGTTCAGCAGGTTCTACAAGGAGCACAGCCCTTAGACCCTATTATGATCCAGTTGAGGACACAGACAGACAATGAAAACTTAAAATATCCTGAGCTGATCAGAATTGTAAGAGAGGAGGAAGCAAGGTTAGAAGAAAAAAGAAATACTCTGGACCATATTCAGCTGTTGGGGTTGGGTTAGTAAGTACGACAAATACTCACTCTGAAATAACCTCATTGAGGGCTGAGGTGTCCGAGCTGAGGGAAATGATTGTCATGCTGATGTCCTCCAAAGGGGGTGAAGCGGGACAGCCTCAAATCAAGAAAAACCCCACTCTAGCTGGAAACAACAAAAACCCTGTAATCTGTTACAATTGTGGTGGTGCAGGCCACTATAGAAGCAGATGTGCAAGTCCAACTAAATGGATTGGAGACCAAAGGAGAGTAATTCAGAGAGAGTCTCCTTTTTCAAGACAAACCCAGACAAGTCGAGAGGACAGTCATTTGTGCGACATGGAATCACTGACTGTGGAACTACTGGTCGACCCAGATCAAGAGGGTTACCCAAGGGATTAGTTGGACCTTCACCTGGAGTATCAGTGAAAATAGAGGGAGTGTATGGCCGAGCTGTGTTGGATACTGGTGCACAAATCACTATCCTCTACAGGGATTTTTCTCAGAAGTACCTGACACATTTGCCTATAAACAGATTGGAAGATTTGGAGATCTGGGGCCTGAGCAATACCAAAGTTCCTTATGATGGATATGTTTCTCTCAAATTAGAGTTCCCTGCTATTGCTGTGGGGTCTGCCGAAACCTTTGAGACCCTGGCAGTTGTATGTCGTAGACCAAAAGAAGATACAGGCGCTGCTATTTTAGTAGGGACTAATACAGATTTTATCTGAAGGATGTTGCAGCCACAGCTGAGTCAAAAACACCCTGTATTAAAATCTGTATTCCGTGCATTATAACGAGAGAAGACTAACCCTAAAGAAGAGGTTGGACATGTGTGGTTTACTAAAGCGGAAGGAACAGGTGATTTCTCCAAGGAGGGTCACCTGCTTGAGGGCTAACGTTAAAATGTGTGGGAAACCCAGTAGTTCCCATTACATGATGGAAATGGATTCAGGAGATTGTGTTAGCAAGATTTCTGATTCTGGATCTACACAGCTCAGCACTGCGGACCCTGAACAAGTACCAGAGGATCTGTGATCACTGCTCATTGTTCTATTAAAGCACATGACCCTTCAATTAACTATGCAGCCCCTGTATACCTGGTGACACCTCATCCCAGACTCAGTCTTATATTAAAGGAGTTTTGATGGGGAAGCTACCCTTCCTGAATGTTGTGTTCAAAGGTGTCACAAAATAAGTCTGCTCCCACCTACCAGACAGGGTAAACTTGTGAAACTGTAGTCTTAGTTTTACTGTAATGTTTTGTATGGTTCAGTTAAAATCTGTGTGCTAACATTTTATCTTTGGGGGACCAAAGATTTTTGGTGGGGGGAGAGTGTAGAGATGTGCTGGTTGCTTTAAATCTTAAACAGCAGTTGCAAAGCATTTTCTTTTTCTTTTCTCTCTTGGTGAGTGATAGACAGGAAAAGCAGGACTGTGCTCTAATTGGTTGTTGCTACAGCTGAGAAGGATCCACCCATAGCAGCATTGTTGCAGCTGAACTTATGATTGGCTGTGGAGGAAAGGAGAGAGGAAAAAGGAAGAAGAAACACACGTGGGGAAGCAGACATTTTCAGGGGAGCTCATGGAGCAAGGGCTCCTGGTGTAAAGTCACAGAGTCTCACTCTCTTTGCTGCTGGAACCCATAAACTGGACTGGGAGTGTGTAGCATAGAAATTGTTGCAGGAGGACAGTGTGAAAACCAAGGATTGTCCTGCCTGACACTTAGGATTACAGCCACTCAAGTGCATGTGTCTCTCTAACTGTGGAGCTGCTGAAAGAGAGGGGATTTCTACTACTGTCTAACGCTATCTAGAGGACAATCCAGAAACAGTGAGTACTCTGTGATGAAAGGGGATTTTGATATTGCTGCATTTGCTGTTCATCTCTGGAAAATGGTCATGTGAAAGCCTGCTCTCTAATTCTCAGAGTGACACAGATCTTGGAAAGCCCAAGCTTCTCAGAATTAGCTATTCCTGCTGCTGATTGTTGAGAGAACTCTGTCTCTGTATATTACTGGTTTGTCTCCTCAAGATTTGTGCTGTGGCTGAAGAGTGTGTTTAGTTCCAAGTCCCCACAGAAGCTTGCTGCTCTAAATATACTGAGCAAAGTGTCAGTATATCAGGATTTTACCTGTATGGTAAAGATTTTGTTGAAGTGTTGTTTTTCTTCTATTGCAATGTTCACTGGAAGATTCTGCTTAAAGGAGACTGTGCTATCCTGCTACCCCTGGATTACAAATACTCTCCCATGCAGAGAGTGAGCACTCTTCCATTGATTAAAGGGCCCC